ATTTGCCGATGCAATGCCTAACAGCATCACCAAATCCCATCCCTTGATCCACGGTCAAAGCCAACCCTCATGAAGTTACACGTTTGACCGCTGTTTGCGTCACGAGCCTGCTTTGAGCAGTTCCCCTAATGACATTTCAAACAAGCACATTATGTAATCGTTTCTTTAACAAGAACAGATGCAATTGATACTAGGCAACAGCCATGGTTGTGTAGGGGGAAAGGTTGAGGAGAAAAGGTGAAAACTTGGTCCCTTGGGGACAACATTAGATCTTTCCATGGCGCACTAGCAGCATCCACTTCCCTTTACCCTATGGCATTAGCTACAAAAAAAGAAATAAACAAAAGGCAAAAGCTAAAAAGAAAACTATTTTGAAATAAAAGTTTTGGAGAGCCTGAGCAAACAATTCCCCTCAGAACGAATGGGCGCTCACATGGCTAGCTCCTGTCCACTCATAACTGACGCTTTCGGGAAGCATAAAATCAAGTCGTTAAAGCGAAATCAACGTTTATTCGCCAAAGTCGTTATCTATGACCAACTACTACTCTATGCTCTAATCATAAGTGAAAGATGTTAAACAAAACTTAACAACCTCCCTCTAACAGGTAGAAAAAAACCGTTAAACGTTGTAAGAAAGGAATGTGATAAAACTGTATAATGTTACGCTTAAAAGCTTTCATCCTACATCACGAACTCTGTTATTATGAATCGTTTAAAACTTGTTCACAGCCTCCACAATGTGACGGGCAGATATTCCGTACATATCAATCAATTCGTCAGGAGTTCCTGAGCGGGGTACGCTCTGCACGCAGATCGAATGAACACGGATATCCGGATGATCAGCTACCGCGGATGATACCTGAAGGATAGTTCGCATTGAAGCTGTCGAAATATGAAATACTGAATTTTCGAAATAAGCAATTCCACTTAAATGTTTCAAAGACTGTTCATTAGTTTCCACCGCAATCAACATATGCGTAAGTGTACGCAGTCTTTCAAATGTGTAAGACTAGGCTACATTTTGTGAACATGCAGCAAACAGCTCATGTAAAGCAGACACATTGATCACAGACAAAGGTCTCGTCATCTCTGAGCCTCACCTGCAACGTCGCTATCAACTAGCCGACGATGAATCCTCTAATAAAACCTGTATCTCCTGAAACATTCCATTACAGCCCAAACTCCTACCAAAAACTAACGCCTCACGCCCACTACTGGCCATTAATAGAGAGGCCGTTACCAATAAGCCGATACAGCTTGTCTGCATCGGTTCGACATGCTCTAAGTTCGAGCAAAAACAGGGGCGATATTCGAAAGTTTCACAAGAATGCTGGGTTGTGAACAAAACTTTCGCCCCAGGCGGGACTAGAACCCGCACCTCTCGCTTTCCGGGCAAGTGCGCTACCAGTTACGCTACCGGGGCACCATTTCATTCCAACTCAGCTTTTCATGGTATACGTACCATAGCTTTCAGCACTCACACGTCTAACGTGTTGAGCCGGTTAGCCGATATCGGCAATGACCGCGAGGCTGAAAGCTTTAGCAATGAATTTTGACTTGTTTTGTTTGTTAACTGCTGTTTTAACGCCGCAGTTCGCGTTGCGAATGTTTCACAAGAATGCTGGGTTGTGAACAAAACTTTCGCCCCAGGCGGGACTCGAATAAGGTTCGTAACACTGCGGGTGCACCTAATAGTATGGGGTGTCAGACTTTAAGATTCACGACGTTACAAGTGGGTGCGGCACGATTTTTGGACCGATACCGGACTCGTGTTAGGGCGAAAACAGATGAGGCGCACGAAGTACGCCGGTCAAATACGGGACATATCCATATTGGGTCAAAAATCCGCTCCACTCGCCACTGGATCGCGACTGCAATCGTGAATTCTGACGGCTACCTATACAATTTTCCTCTACCCCGGTGTTCCCACCTCTCACATTCAGGAACCTTTAAAATGGTACTTCTCCTGTAACTCAAACTACAGTTTCCTAACATTATTGCCAGATGATTGTGCACAACTTACAGCCTCTCCAATTCCTCCAGCAGGATAGTGGTCTTCGACCGTCAAGATTTTCCCACCAACACGTTTAGCTTGATTTAACGATTGTCTCCTGATCCAGTGGCTTGATTGTGAATGGATCAATGACGCAAGCATGTACTCCTGGAAAACCATAGGTAAACGATTTATGGACAACTGAATTGTCAACGGACACGTACCAGTTTTTTCCAACTGCTCTGCAGCTTTCAGACACTCATACAGAGTCACTCCAGCTCGATCGAACAATTTTGGTCTTTTGTCGGATTGTTTCACAATCTTAAGAAAATTACAAAGTGATACGGTAAAGAAGCACCGCGTAACAACAAGCTAACCTTGGCTTTTCCTATAGCAAATGGCTCCTCGTTCTGGTAGAGCACTGGGAGCGCTGGACGACCTGTACGAATGAAAACAATGCCCTTAGTGTTGGCTGCTAACTCAGTTGCTCTTTCTGCCGAGACACCATCACTTGGATAAAAGACCGTTGATCCAGGAATTCGCACGGAAGATTGCCAAATCCTTAAACGGCGGATATATTATCCTTGTGTCACAAAATTTCACCTTGGCATTGCGAGAAAGAGAGAGCTCGGGTACAACCTACCTCAAGAGCCATTTGACTGGGACCATCTTCTCCAATCGAGACTCCAACATGTGATCCCACCAAGGTTCAAGTTAGCAAACGGACGGCAGCCATTTACGGGATCTGATCAGTTGCGCGGGTGAAGAAAGCAGCAAAAGTGCTGAAATGGATCACATCACGATTAGGATAGTTGGAAGCGATTTTCACCATGACTTGTGGAACCGAGATCAAAATTCGAGGAACATTACGAAACCGGCACAAATGGGTGAATGATATGAAGCATGCTGATAATGATATCCGCTATCGAATAATTCAACGGTAAAAACTCAAAATCAATATCACTTAGCTCGATTAGATAAGTTTTATGATGTAAGCTTATCGCAAAACCCTCATGTAGGTGTCAGACTCAGCGATTGGACAATCACGACCACGGCTCCGACAGCACTAGTGTTCCGTGCGCAATTCGAGAGCATGGGAAAGTGGCTGAAGCCAACACGCGAACGAGAGTAATTCCGTGAGCAAAAAGATGCGAGCGTGGTGCGGTCACGATGGGCCCCACTTTGCAATGGCGACAGCACTTGTCGCAGACCTGGGGCGCGACGACCGCATCACGAGTCTGGATCCTTCATTTCTCCTCTCCATCCAGTCCGCTGGACAACCACCTTATCGAAGTAATTCCAGTCTCTCGTTACTAATCGGAAGAAGGATAACTTACCTAGTGAACGGGATGGTTCTATCACGGCACTGTGCGCCAACTGCAACACCGACAAGATTCTGTTCAGCAATGAAGCACTCAATGAACTGTTGGGGATGTTTCTAGAACATACAAAGAACATCCATAGCATGTCCACCCTCATATAAACTACCGATAGAAGTATGCCTACCTGAAGAAGTTTCTCCGAGAAAGTCGAGTTCTTTGTGTCACCATCAAGTCCAATGACGCGAGGATTCACATCACCAAGCTTCGCTAGAGCGGTACCGTAAGCGGCTCGTGTTGCCACCTATGACAGTCACGATGGGCAAAGTCAAGCTTACTCGCTACTCACGATAATTTGGTGCATATGAATGGATTACCTTTTCGCCCAACTTGTATGCGGGAGGGGCTATCTTGATTGAACCGACGTGAAGATCTACCTTTCGGTGCGTCATCGACTGGTTTCTTTGGGACTAGTTTACCCTTTTGGCTACCGTGGAAGCGTGCTTTAATAGCACCAACCTAAAATTTTAAACATCAGTAAAGTAATGCAAGCAGGAAAATATGTTTCAACTCGCCTTGTCGGCTGGAACAGGCTTTCCATGCCAGTTTTCTTGGTCAGCTATCCCTTCAATACCCTGGCCTTTGAAAGTTTTGGCGATAATTGCCGTCGGTCTATCCTGAAGGAGGGCAATATGTAATAAATGCAATTCTCACACATTTTCCAATATCAGACCTCTCAGAAAGATTACCTTTGTATTTCTAGCTGTCTCGTATGCATTAATTAGCTCATTTACATCATGTCCATTAACAACGATGGCGTTGAAGCCAAATGCAGCAAATCGAGCCTGAACCACGTCTTACTCACCCAATAACTTGAGGAGAGAGGTATTCCCGAAAAATTTCGCCAGGATAGCGTAACCCTTGAAGCTCACCTGATACACATCAACTTTGTGTCCTAGCGATGTTTCTTGAGACTGACCCAGGCGATTAGCATCGACTATGGCAACCAAGTTATCGAGCTTATAGTGCGAGGCGAATGCTAAAAAAATCAGAACTCAAATCTATACACCTGCATTTTTGATTTTAAAATACTTAATTTCCACACAGCTGCACTCTCTTTTTACTGCACATATTATTCCTTATTCTTATGTGTTGTACTCAGAAAGTTGCCTAGCCCTTCTTGGATACGCCACGCATTGCCATTAAGGTTGAGTTTACATTTAAGTACGGATCAAATGACCTGAGTCCGTGAACCGATGTACAGACCTCTTGCCCTCCCAGACCAATTCGCTGTTAATCGATTAATTGATAACAAATTGATGTGAGAAGGTAAATTGATAGATCAGGAGATATTGAAGTTTGGTAGATCCCTGCGAGATTTGACCTGGAATTTGGCTTCTGGCCCAAGGGCGTGGCAAGTGGCGTCGCTCTTCACAACACTATCCCCGCCCGCGAGTTGTTTTTATGACGAGAGTTTAACAAAGAAAAACGATGGCTGCAAACCTGCCGCCTCCCACACTGAACCTTCTGCAGTTTCTCCATCTCCCAACAAGCAGAACACACGATAGCTTGCCTAGAACAAGCAACATAAAAAACCGATAATTCATTGTCAGGAATTTAGCCATTGATTGGCACTAAAAACGAAAAGTCCAAAATACCTTATCGACTGTACTTCCAACATATAAGCCATTCCAGCGGCGCACGACAAGCCCTGCCCAAGTGATCCCGTAGCAACATCAATAAAGTTCACAGACGCTAAAATATTTGTATTCAAAGCTATTCGAAAAACTAGCCGCAAGTAGTGAGCTTCGGTATCAGGAAAGTGCCCGGCCATACTTAGCAAGTATAGCGTTCTGATGGCCTATTCGTCAACTATTTTCGACATTGAGACCTGACTAGGATTTGAACCCTTGAACCCATGCTAGAAAGTCTCTTAACGAAAATGAGTTGAAGCGGTTTTTTCACTTTCTACTCAACACCCAGACCATTCCTGAACATTTCTAGAGTGTGGTTCATTAGGAAAGAAAGCGAATTTTTACGCGTTTCGCAGCGCGTAACGTTTTTCGCTGCAGGTAACCTCAGGTCCACGCTGGTCATTGTGTCCTGGAGTTCCCGCAGTGAAGAAATGTTTCGCGCTGCGAAAGCGCGAAAAAGTCGCTTTCTGTCCATAGTTTTCCTAGACGTGAACACACCTACACTTCTCATGATATGTACCGGTTTTTTTAATAAAATAAAAAGAAACGTACAGGAGTCGGATGTCCTTCGATATCCGAGGGGACTTTACGCAAAGACATGACCTGGTCCCTTGAAAGCAAGCCAGCTTCTTCCCATGCTGCATAGAGGATTGGGCAGGCATGACCCTGGAACATCAAGTGCGCTGCTTTTAAAAATCTAGCATGATTGATCACGATCGAGCACGATCAACTCAGTTAGAGACTCACCTTTGAAAGTACGAAACGGTCGGCGCTCGCTGCCTTTGGGTTAGCGACATCGTACTTCATCTCATGGAAAAACAGCGTGGACATAACCTCAGCTGTAAATTATTAAGAGTCAGCTCTGTGAATCGATCCCATGAACCTTAGTTGAGGATGACAAGAAGCTGTCTAGTGAGCTTCTCGTGCTTGCAATCCACTCGGCATTAACTCACTCTCGAGCGTCAAAAAATTAATCCCATTTAAAAACTATATCTTAGCCAAATCACCTGCAGAAGTAGAAGACGTTGGATGCCCACTCTTCGAGGCACAGGTCATCTCGATGGCTGAGATGCGCATACGGTTTGCAGCATCTTCGAGATCATGACGGAGCTCAACGGGAACTGTCATCCTGGTAGACTAAAAACATGTTTTTTCTTAGATAGAATTTAGAGAAAATATTCTACACATGCGAAAGACGAAAATGGCAATAAATTGAAATAATATTACGTGTGGATCAGCACGTACCAGTGATCGAAAAACGCTTAATAACCGGAGCATTGGAAATGCATTGGTAAACTGATTGGTGAGGAGAAAAACACAAATGCGTATCGCTGCGTTGTCGCGGAGAATGATCAAAGTACGTAAGAGGCGTCAATCCATATTAATTCACGAAAAACGTCAAGGAGCGATCACAATCATTCAAAGATGGCGGTTAGCTCAGGGACATAGTGCCGCTTCAATTTGGACTGTAATAAAGCGCGGGAAAAAGCTGTCTAGACTTGGCGAATTCGCAGCTGACATCGGCAGCTTCGCGTCGCTACTGAACCGCTCAACTGCAAAGAGCGCGAATAAGCGATTTACTCGACGGCAGATTACCGCCCACAGTGTTTGGGTATAATATTAACCGGAAGTTTTTCTCACATTCTCGTGCAAATCGGCAAAACGCATGAGCACAGATTATGCACTGCACGGTACCAACGTCAAATTCCCCACGTAATGACAGCCACCATCCGTAGAGCGCAAGTACGCATTTCTGCGGCCATTCTCCCACTTGAAGCAACAGTCCCAGCAGGGTTTTTACCTTCGACACTAATGGTGTGGAACGATGCGCTAGCCCTAGTCAAGAACATAAGAAGTGTGACTGAACAAAAAACTCACCTTGGAAAGCCGCTAGAAAGGGAGCTGAACAGCTTCGAAGTGGGCGTGGTTGGAAATCGGCCGAGGGGATTGCAGCCGATTGGCAACCACGCCCACTTCGAAGCTGTTCAGCTCCCTTTCTAGCGGCTTTCCAAGGTGAGTTTTTGTTCAGTCACACTTTTATGTTCTTGACTAGGGCTAGCGCATCGTTCCACACCATTAGTGTCAAAAGTAAAAGCCTGCAGCACCGACTATGAACGCACCCTGATCCACGCATCATTCGCCGCAGGTTGACAGCCATCTGTGAGTCCACCAAATATACGTATAACCAAACGGTTGCAGATATAACCACAACTTAAAAGCTACACCTTGGTGATCAAATTGCTTTGACCACCCACAGCAAACAACAAAGGGTCGCCATCAAAGTCGGTAAGGCTCGCAACGAAACCTCATGCCCTCGCAGACTTTTCAACCGTTATGGTTAGA